ACCCTCCCCCTTCACACCCAACGTCTCTAAGACACACTGGAACAGCGGATGCTTGGGGAGCCCATCTGGGTGAGGACCTTGTCAAGCCACTGCAAAGGCCCATTCAGGTGCAGCTCGATCCAGCAGGGGGTGCTGGTCACGGTCTGTCTCCTGCAAGATATAGGGAGAGGGGTGGGGTGGGAGACTTCAAAAATGTCCAGAAGGACACACCTACAAGTCAGAATATCTTTTCCTGCTTTGGTGAAAGTCTTCTTCCCAGAGCCAGAGATAGGTCCGTGGCGCCTTGCTAGACCCAGCTCTAGAGGAGGTCCCAATAAATGGCTGAGACTGCCAGGCCGAACTCCTCCAACTAGGAAGAGCCTTGAGTAAGTCAGGTTCTCCTCATGGGGAAGGAGATAGCCCTTCAAGGGCTAAATATGTGAGGCAAATTCCACGGTATCCCACTTGCCCACCTGTTTCTGGGACAGGCCCCCCCCCCAGTGAAGAACTTCCAGCCTGAGCAAAGGTCTCCCAGGGTCCCATCTGCCGTGAATGGGCAGCCGCATCTCCAGCCCCAGGCCCAGTCCCAGCAGGCCATGATGACGTGTGTCTGTCTGATGGAGGGTGTTGTTTGCAAAGCGCCGACAGAATCCACATGCCATCAGTTCCCAATGTGCTGATATAATTCCCATCTATGGCCTTATTTTGGAAAATCTTACGAGCAGAGCGAGCCATGGAACAATTACTGGAAAAAACCAAGGCACACCACACGTTTCTTTTCCCCCAAAGCACTGGCTGGCTGATGACGCAGCCCGCAGGCGAGCTCCCAACGGCCTGCAGTGAGCAAAGATTATCTGCCCCGGCCGGGGGCGCTGGTACAGGCTGGAGGCGGGAGGCCTGCGCCCGGGGCCCTCGCCGCTTTTGGCCATCTCACAGGAGGGACGAAACCTTACTCTCTCTGGCACAAGAGGCAGAAGGAGGGCAAGACTGTTCTGGGAAGGGGCCGCACCCGCCCGTTAGGCTGCTCTGGGGGGCTGCCAGGTGGCAGGGACGTGGTGGGCCGCCCAGGACCTGGCGTGTTGGCAGCATGTCCCGAGTGGTGACACAGGGCCCCCAGGGAAAGGCTTCCGCCACCGAGGGGCCTCTTCCCAGCACTCGGAGCTGGAGGGCCACGGTGCTGCGCCAGCTTGAGGGCTGCTCGCTCAAGGCCACTGCCCGCCTTGCTTGGCCTACGCTGGGCCCAGGTGGAGGTTTCTAGATGGCCTCGTGGACCCCGGGGTGCCTCTCTGACCCGTGGTGCCTGAGTGCAGTCCTCTGGACTGAAGTCTGGGTGTAGGAAGAAGCAAAAGGACCTCTCTCTGGCTCTTTTCCAATGGGGTCCATCTAAGTATTTCCCTTCCCCACTAAAAGAAAAATACTAATTTTAAAACATTTTACTCTGGACCCGTAACTGATTTCAGCCAGGGCCAAAAGGTGGGCTAAAATCTCTCTCGGGCTGGGCCTTCGGGCCAGGGCTCATCGCCTCAGGCCATCCTAACTGGGCTGTAAGTTCTCAGTTGGTCACTCATCCTGGGTTTCAGAGAGACCCCCACAGACCAAGGTGCTGTGTTCCCTGGTCCTGTGGGGCAGACACAGGGCAGAGCAGCTAAAATACCGTAAAGAGAAGAGGACTTTACGGGCCGAAATACTCTAATGAGAATCTGACTTTCCATAAGTCATGCTCATCTGGATTTCATTACAAACGGTGGCCCAGAGCCAATATTGAAATGGGTTTGGCCTGGGTGCAGAGTGACTACAAAACAAAATGGATTCCAAACATCTGGAAAAATGAAGAGAAGCGGGGAGTCACTTGCAAAGCGCTGGCCCCAGCTGACATGTGGGCACCTCTGCGTCTGGCGCGGAAGCCGGAGGCAGGAGGGGGACATGGCCCTGGCCCTTGCACACATCCTGTCTAGGTGTGGAAAGAAAAGGGACCAGATTCGCTAAACCCAAACCAGAATGTTCTGAGAGATTCGACAGCACTGACCAGGTAGACCCGACCAGTGCCATGTTTAAACCAGTATCTGAAATTCTGAAAAAACGCTTTCTTAGCAAGTAAACTGTTCCTTTATGACTACCCAAATCTTCTCCCATCCGCCTCTGAATTTTAATACCGGAGAGCCTCAGGGTCACCCAGGGGCGGAGCCCCAGAGGAGGGAAGAACAGGATGAAGACTTAACTCCCTGGAGAGGGTCGTCCTAAAACCATCTGCCCAAAATGAACAACGAGGAAGCAGCCAAGAGGCACAGTTCTAGGCTCAGCTTTTCCGCTAACGATGTGACTTCAGGCAAGTCACTTTCCCTCCCTGGGCCTTGGTCCCCTCATCCATGCACCGGGGGTGATGCCAGCGTCCCCGCCCAGGGTGGTGGTGAGGAAGAACTAGAACATGTGTGTTTATGGTGTTTGAGAAACCGAAGCGCCTGGCTCTTCCTTATCCAGTGTGGCTCGGGCCCTCCCGGCCTGCCAGGCCACGGCCACTGATCCTTGGCCTCTGCTCTTTGGGGCGAGGGTGGCCTAGCTCATCTCTGTGGGGCCCCTGCTCTGCTGTTTGAGTCATGTGCACCCAGGTCTCCATGATATGTGGCACCCAGACCTGACCTGTATTCTGCTCCCCAGCCTTTGACGAAGCTCATGCGGATGGTACACATCCGCGTCAACTGGTAGACCGCCTCGAAGCCCTGGTTGACGGACTGAGCCAGGAGGGCGGCAAACTCCTGGTTGTTGAAGATCTTCAGGTTGCACCCTGCCAAGAGAACAAAAACAGCACTCGTGGGGACAGAGGCATACGTGTCCAGTGCCCCACTCCTGGCTGAAGCCACCCCTGGGTCATCCAGAATGGCATACCTCACCCGGCTCAAGTGGCACACAGTTATTCCGTGCGCTAGCCCCACACTCAACACTCAGCACCACGCTAGGGACAGGCCCCCTCGGTCCCTGCCCTAAGCCGTCCTCACCTCAATGGAGAGGTGTGGCTGACACACACGGGTGGATTAAACACTGGCCTGTAAGCTCCAGCTCCTGGAGCCAGGGAACGCAGAGGAAGACTCTAAAGTAGGCTACCAACAACAAGAGAGATGGTTTGGAGAGCTGGGCCTTGCCCTGGGCAAGAGGGCCAAGGCAGGACTCCAGGGACCAGAGAGAGAAGGTGCCCAAGCCAGAATGTCCACGGCTGTGGGAGGCATGGCTGACCGCCTGGGGAGCAGGAGCCCTTGACATCAGACGGAGGGGAAGCAGGCCAGAGGAAAGGCTCCTTCCTCAGCCTGCCGCTCCAACAGGACGCTCGGCAGAGGGTCCCAGGGTACCTTCCACCCAGGCTTCCCTGGTGAAGCCACCTGGGACCAGGAAGGAGCACGAGACTGGGGCCACATTTTGGCCTTTGGGCACAGGGCTGGGTCAGGGTGACATTCGCAGCAAAGTGAAGACGTGTGTCTAACTCTCCAGGCAGTAAAACCAGAGACAGGCCCAAATAAAGTTTATAATAAATCTTCCTGAAGTCCTACCGCCCAGGTGCCAGGAATGTGTCAGTCAGAAAAAGACAACAGCACATGCTGGGAATACCCAGAAGGTGAGCTAAGGTGACGTTTATTAACGGGCCAACACTGGACTCCTAATCTTGCCGTGTGACTCTGGGCTGGTCACTTTCTCTTTGGAAGCCCGGCCTCTGAGGTCCTCCCAGCTCTGATGGTCTATGAGCTAACAAACCCCACCACGGCCCCCTCACCAAAAAGGTGGGGGAAGGGCTGGGGACGGGAGTGGTCACAATGCCAGGAACACAACCGGGCTTCGGGTTCTCATCTTCTCCAAGGGAAGTGTGGTGACCCTGGGGCAGCAAGAAGCGCAGGAGCACTAGACTCGGGGGCCACACGGCCCCGTGGCTCATCCCGGCTCAGCCACTGCCCAGCTGTGTGCCTTGGGGCAGGTGGCTCAACCTCTCTGAACTCGACTCCTCGCCTGAGGAGCCAGGATAATTGGAGAGGGCTAAGTGAGAGCAAAGCTATTGATGTCTTCTGTAAACGCGGCCACACAATGCGCAAGAAACCGAGAGCGCTGTTCATTCAGACCTTCTGCCTTCCTAGGCTGGCCCTGCCCAGAGCCCACGGCTCCGCTAGAGCATCTGCTACTGAGACGAGGAAACGCGTGCCGCGCACAGTGCCCGCCGGTCCCAGCCCGCGCTCGGCCAGCAGCACGGCCTGGCGCTGCGTGCCGGGGACAAGCGGGCTCGGCCGGGGCTCTGGGCCTTGGTTTTGTAAGTCCAGAGGCCCGGACGGGGCCCGTCTCTGCCCGTGTTGCTGCATGGCCGTGGCCCTCTCCACGCCACCCTCTGGGGTGCAGCCGGACACCCTTTCTTGGAGCACAGGTGGGATTCATCAGCTCCACTCAGAAAACCCGCAAGAGCTCCCCAGAGTGAAAGCACAACTTTCTCACGGCCTTCTGTGGCCTGGCCCCATCATGCTTTCTAAACATTTCCTGTCTCTTACACGGCATCTCCAGCCAGTGCCACCGTATGTGCCCTACCCTCCGTCCCCTCCGGGCTTTGGCCCGTATTGTTCCCTCTGCTTGGAATGCCCTTCAAGGTCCCACCCGCCCCCGCCGGTCACCCTGTGTCGAACGCCAACCAGCCTGCAATGCCTGCGTGCCTCCTCCATGAAGCCTTCCCTGATCCATCCCAATGGTTCAATGAGTTTTGCTCCCTGGCTCCAAGAGCACCTTATCTGTGCTGCTTGCCTGGTACTTAGTACCCGTCCTCGTATTAAACCCATTCGTGTCTTTGTCTTGTGCCCTCAGCTGGCCTGCAAGGCCTGTGGGGACAGCAGCAGGGCCTCCCGGAGCCCTCCGTCTCCCTCAAGCACCTGGCGCGGCGCCCACGTGCCGTGCGAGTTCGTGGAGCGAAGGGGGAAAGCACAGCGCCTGAGCACCTGTGTGCACAGGGCAACAAGCAGGGGCGCACGGGTCAGAGGCAGACCCGCCGGAGGCTGCGGCTGCCCCCCGCAGGGTCAAGGCGAGCGCAGCAGGGCGGGCGGGCAGACGCGGAGGAGCCCCGAGCGAGGCACCGCCAGGCAGCCAGCCGGTGGCAGCACGGAGGAGCAGAAGAGGAGGAGAACCCGCCCGGCGGCCCAGGCGCGTACCTGGGGGGATCTTGCAGACAGTGGCCGGGTGCCAGCCGTAGCGCTGGTTACAGTTGGGAGACTGCACAAAGATGGCGCTGTCGCTGAGGCACTCTGCGAAGACCTCCCCTCCGATGTAGTACAGTCGCACGCCGCGCCCTAGGGAGATGTGGGTCAGACTGGCCCGGGGGCACCAGCGGAGGCTCGCGAGGGGGACGGCTGCAGCCGCGGCTCCCACGGACTGCTGCTCTGCGTCTCACCAGGCCAGCAGGACCCAGGGCCCAAGCCTGAACCCGCACAGGGGACGTGGGGGCGGCACTGGGCCCCTGACGCTGGAGGTGGCGGATGACGAGGCGAAGGGGCATGGGGTAAGTGGGCCTAACAGCCTCCGCCGCGGACGAGCCGTCGGCCAGCATCAAGTTACTCAGCCCCTGAGCCTCAGTTTCTCCGCCTGGAAGATGGGGCCATGGTAACCCGCGCCTCACGGGGTGGCTGAGGCGCACACGGCGAGCGCCCGCCAAGCGTGAGCGGCTCCCGCGGCCACTGCCATGGACACGCAGCAGACCCGCAGAGCTCCTCCTGAGCAGACTCCCAGGAGCCCTTGAGGACAGCGATGGCTTCATGCCACCCCCGTACGTTCTCTCCTCCGTGCATTTTTCTACAACATTCCATAGGTTTATGTCATTCACTTTTCCTCCATCTCTTAAAAATCCATTCCAGATGGACAGAAATTATTTTTAATTGGCTCTGCAGTCCGAGCAAGCAGTTACGTAAACACTCTGACGATGAGTTCTGCTCTCGGCTAGGGGAGGTTCTCCTCTCCCGCACAGGAAGGTCTCTGTTGCCTTCTGGGGAAGAGGGTCCAAGGGCTGGAGGACGGAGCCAGATTCTACAGGCACGGCGTCCAGCGGGGTAGAAACTAGGGGGTCTCTGGGAATTCTGCCTCCTCATCCCGCCATGGCCCCAGCGCCCCTTTCTCCTTGGGGGGTGCTACAAGACCCAGTGTCACAGACACGCAGGGTACGGGCAGACTTGGGGTCCACAAGGAGGGGCCGCCGGGTTATGTCCGTCAAGAGCAGAGGCAGAGGCGGGAAGACCCCAACCGAAAGAACAAAAATGTGTTTTGTTTTGGTAATTTGGAAACTATTTTTAAAATGTAGAAGAGCATAAGGAGAATAGGTAAACACCTATGGATGCCACCCAGGATCAGTATCTTTTTTAAAGTAAAACAAATGGGGAGGCTGTCTGGGAAGGCTGCAGGCTCAGTGGCAGGGGGCTGTTTGTCACCAACTAGGTCACATGGTGTGGCCTCTGCAAGGCTCTGCTGTCCCCTGGGCAGCAGGTTATTCCCTGGAGAACGAGCACCCAGGCCCAGACCCATGGCTTCCAAACTTTTCTTCTCTTAACCATAAAATCCTCTCCTCAAATGAAATCGTCCATGAAAATCCAAGATATAGTAAGAACAAGATCAAGGGTGCTCTGGTTCACTTAGGACCAGACCCCCTGCTGTCCTGCCCAGCTCCGGAGTTTGCCCTGGAGCCAACCCCCGGGGGCTCTGGGCTGACAGTGCCCTATTACACCGTCTCCAAGTGTGGAGATGGCCTTCCGATGGACTCAGGATCTCAAAATTATGAATATCCAAGTGACACACACACAGCTCCTTCTTCCATAAGCCAAGTGGTCTCCTACTACGTTCTGGATGTTAGAAGGCAGAATGTTAGCACCAGGGCTGGTCTGGCAGCCTAGAATAATTGTATATGAAATTAACAAATAAAAGATCGTTCGTTAAAAACGGACACCGCCTACCTATCCCCCTATCAGTACTTTAGGGGTATGTTTATTAAGATACATATGTTGCCCTTTTCATAGATTTGCTATTCTTGTCCCCTCAAGTTGAGTGTTTTCCTCCATGGCTTTCCCCTCTTCAGACTTAATCTGTGTTTCCGAATGGGAATGACCAAGCAATGTGAACTCTTCTGGTCTGGCCCCTAAACGGGGCAATACAGAGTTTGGGGGCTGGCTGGGGGAGTGGGTCCTCTCCCCAGGTCCCAGCAGGAGGCGCGGCACAGCGGGGGCAGGTCGGTTCTGGGCAGAGGCTGCTGGGGCTGCTGGGCAGGGGCAGGGGGGGTGGATGGGGAGACGGGGCGCCCTTACCGATGTGCCTCCGCGTGAGCTCCACGGCTGCGTTCCTGTTGACGTTGGAGAGCAGCCCCAGGCAGAAGCGCTCCGAGTTGGAGGGGTCGGTGAAGCCATCCACTGTCATGGAGGGCTGCGAGGCGTGGAATGTCTCCCCAACGCGCTGGTTCAGCTCATAGTAGGAGATGGAGCACCAGAAGGCCGGCTCGCAGTAGGTGACAGGCTGCAGGTCTGGGGAGACAGGCCAGGCTACTGGGTCAAGGGCCCCCAGGTCGCCTGCTGCTCAGCGAGCTCCCCTGGATGTTCCGTAAGGCTGTTTCTGTACCCCTCCGAGGGTTATGATCCCTGAAGCTCGTGCCTTGCATTAAACTTGCAGGATCCAATGCTCTAGTGTTTGGAAAAGCCTTCCACTAGCCTGGCCGCTTTCATTTAGTCTTAGCTCACAGAGGCCCTGTCTGTCTGGCGGGCCTTGGGTTGGAGCGGTCTTCAAGGAGGGCCAGGCACCACCCAGCACCTGGGCAAGCCCGCTGGACAGGCCTGGCAGGTTCCCCGGGGGCGCCCTGCCACCCACGCGGCCACCTCCCGGAGTAACCCATGGTGATCTCGGCCTCCCAAAGGGCTTTCAGCTTTCGGCTCTGCCTGGTCTCGGGCCCTCCTAGCCTGTGGAGTGGCAGCGACGGAGCCTGTAAAATGACAAGGCTGGTGCAGCCCAGGGGCCTGCACAGGGCGCTGGGCCTCCGACCACACAGGCTCGGCCCACAGAGTGAACCAGGTCCACGGCTCTTACTAGAGAAACTATCTTCCAAATGTCTCCACATGCTGTCTGTCCAGGTGGCTAAGATGCCAAGTCACCGAAAAGAAATTCTCAGTGGCACACATCCGTCACTCCCGCCCAAGCCGGGACAGGGACACATGGCCCCAGACAGTGCCGGCTATCTTTGAGGGAGCAGAATAGCCCCTGGGTGAAAACCACTGCCTTCGAGGGTCAGCCAAGTCATGGAGTGCAAGCTTCAACGCCAGGCGGCCTGGAAGGCACTCGGCGCTGGGGCACGGACCAGCTGCGCGACTGTGAGCAAACCAGGCCAGCTCGGAGCTTCAGCCTCCACATGGCTCCCGGCAGCCACGGGGCGGGGAGCCCTCTTTACCTCGGCCGCTATCTGCGGATGGACCGGGAGGAACCACGAAGTGCGGGGCACGCCTCAAGCACTCGCTACGTGGTGCTGACGATTAGAACTGATGATGTACGTGAACCTGAGTACGTCCTGCTCCTGTCCTGGCCTCCGCTGCAGGGGAGGCAAAGCGCCCTTTCCTCTCTTCCCAGGGGAGAGGGAGGGGAAGATGAGGGAAAGCAGGGGATCGAAGCTACTTTTAATGGGGGAGGGAGGAGTGACGGGGCAGGGGCGACCAGGGCTTGTGGCCTGTGTCCCGGAGGTTGGGTTGAGCCACACGGGCCACATCCAGCTCTGGCGTCACTGGATGCTTCGACATTCCAATGAGATAAGCTATATTCTAAACAATGTGGTCACTAAAATGTGAACTATGTTGCTTTGAAGACCTTAAAAAAAAAAGCCCAAGAAATCCAAGTATAATCCAAGCACTCAAAGGGGTCGGGCAATGTGTCTGAGGCCAGAGGTGCTGAGCAGGGGCTGCGGAGCACCAGCGCCCAGGGGCAGGTTCTGCTGGCCTTGCTGTGTGAGCCTTCCTGGCCTGGAGAGTGACTGTAGTTTTACTGGGACACATCTAGCGCAGACCATCCAGGTCACTGTGCAGCTGGCGTGGGTCAGCCTGGAGAGGCAGCTAGGGCTGATCTGCGCTGGCCCTGGTTTCCCTGGTAAAGTACAGAACAGAGTCCTCACCCCAAATTACAAAGCCTTCCAGCACCCCCTGGGCTTAGTCCAGACAGGAGAGAGAGAGCTTGGCTCCCAGGAACCCTGGCACAGCCTACCCATCAAAGGAAGAAAAGCCACAGGCCACCCATCGGGTAACACGGTGCCAGAACCACTCAGGGGAAATGTGGGCTTTGAGGCATCTCAGAATCAGAGACAGGCTTGGGGTCCTAGCCCAAGAGGCCCCCCAAGCAGATCTGAGCCCTTATCCAAACATCCCTGCAACTTACAGATACACACTGGACAGTGTGGTGGAAAACACTGGACTCGGAAGCCTGACACATAATTAAGGAGATGCTAGTTTGGGGAGTTGGGGGGAGAGCAGTGCAGTCAGGCCAAGGCAAAGTCTGAAGGGTACAGATGAGCTGGCCTGTGTTCAGAAGCAGGACTGACCCGGAGCAGTGCCCCCAGCCACGTATTCACAAGTCTCCACAAACAACTAAAAGTCCTGCCTTTCACCTCTGTCCCTCCTGGCACCTCTCAGCTGCTTCCTCAAGGAACTTCTGCAAGGGGGTGCTGCAGACCAAAATGTATGGTCACCACCTCTGGGTTCTGCCTTGAATGGCAACCTGTTTTTTAAACAGCACGTATGTCCTCATTTTTTTTCCCACCCCAAAGAATTATCCACACCATGGTTAAGTACAAGAGAAACAGTCAGGACTCGGGAAAGGAGAACATTATAAACAGGATAACCATGGGCTATAGCTACTGACAGAGCACTCAGCTTGGCTCTGAGCTTCCTAGCAGACAAGGCAAAAAGGGAGCATCTTATGCTACATGGCTCTGGTTGTGAACAGATAATGCTTACAAGTTCTGCAGGGGAACAAAGCTTGTCCTGGCCCTAAGTCTCAAAAGAAATCTTTTAAGGAATCAGGTGGCAACCTCTCCTCCCACATCCGTCAGGCCAGCCAGCCTGAATTCCAAGAGTCTTCCAACAAACGAAGAGGCCATTTTGCATAAGGTTGCTTCTTGAAAAGGACCTGAAGACATGCCACTCAGAGGCTCCTCTGGGAGGACGACTCTACAGGGCTAAGGGCACTTGACTCCCTGACAGTGGTTTTGCTTCTTCAGGCCAAAGATTCGGCACACCCGGCAGGCTAGACAATGGCACGTGCCCAAGGCCGCCCCCTGCACACTGCCCTGCTCCCGGCCAGACTGCTGAGTCTGTGCTAATCGCCCTTCCCAGAGGAGAGGTGTTGGAGACGCAGGAACCTCCAGCTCGCGCTGCCCTCCACCCCCTGCCCCCACCAGCGTGGTATCGGCCAGGCTTCTCGAGTGGCGGGGGGGGGGGGCACTTAATTCACAGCTGGCCCCCTGCCAGCCTAACGGTGCTGGCTGGCTTGGGTTTCGAGCCCTATTCCAAGCTGGCGTAGACTTTCTGTTTTGTTTAAGGAAAAGAAAACAGAATAAAACCCAGAAGGCAACACTTGGATTAAGGGATGCCTATTAAAAACACGTGCAAGAGATCCAAATCCGGTAAAGGAAAAGGAGGGGGGACAGAAGGGGGAAATCAACTTTCTACTATGAATCAAAAGCGGGGGGTGGGCAAAACATTGAAGTTGCAAAGGCTGAAGGTCAGGATGTGAATGAACTGCCTTCACCTGGGCCCACTTCACCTGTGGCAGGCAGCGTGACCTCCCATCCCGGAGACAGCACACTCCAGTCCCCAGGGACCCCCACGGTCCCCGCTGCCTGGGCTGTCCCCCGCCCCCCCACCCCAGGTCACGTGGCTGTGAAACAGTCCCTCACAGCTCTTTTCCTTTTGAGCCCCTGCTGTCCCCAAGGGTTAGTTCCTGTGGGCCCGGGACGGCGGAGTCGCCGCACCCAGGGCCCCAGTTCCAACCTATCTCACTGAGGACGACGACAAAACAAGGTGTGCAGGGAAAGCAGCCCGCGCTCTTTCAGCCTGGGGCCAGCTTGCTGCAGCTGAGACCAGAC